CGTTAGAGCTGATTCTGAAGTAACGGAGTTCATAAGAATCTTTGTCGTTGGCGACAACACGGATCCAATCACGCAAACTGTTCTTCTTCAAGTACTTCTTGGTCAAGTACTTCAAGTAGGCCTTGGAGAAGTGGACATCGGAGTTGACGTACAACTTCATCTTGACACGTTCGAAGGTGACATTGTTACCCAAGTTGTTAACTTTACCGTTAACCTTCATGCGGGCCTTAACGTACTTTTCCTAAATTACAAAAAAAAAAAAAATAAAATCCCGTTGAGTCAAGAGAAAAAATTGTACTTGTTCAAAAAAATTGTCTTTATACCGTAAAAGGAAACACTCCTCCAGTTCTGTAGTACAAATGATATCATCAAAACTTTTTTATATGTTATTTATGACAATTTCACTTGGAATATGGAAACAATGGAGAATATAAGGATATTATCTCTTTGTTTGTTAAGCTTTTAAATCAAGATACAATTTAAAAACCAAATATAAAAAGAGTGTGGTTTTGATATGCCACTGAGTACACTGTCATCAGAGCGAGGGTAATCACTCTCTAACAACAAATCAGTCGTGGCCAGTAAAGACAATTTTTTTCGCTTATAGAATTTTAATTTAAAATAATTTTAGTTCTTATACATATATTATTAAAAAAATTACCTGCTTTTTATTATAAATATTGATACAACATTGTTGCCTCTTTAGCAACAAAGCCCTCCTGGGATGAGGGTGGAATCTTATATTTATAAAGAATTTTCAATACATAAAGCTTGCTTTGGGTGAATGGATACCTGCAGCGCCCAACTTGGAAAAACGCTTTGGCAGGGCGCACTATTGCATCTTGGCTTGAGCACTTGCGGTTGCAAGTGTACCCAACCCAGGGCCCACCACGTGGCGGTTTACATAGCACGTCTTGACGCAGTTCACAAACGGTTGCACCACTGGTCAGTCCAGGTTCTGACAGTCAGAGGCTACCCCGTTGTGCTACATCCAGAGCCCCTCTTAGAGGATTTTGGAAACAAGGTCTTTAGAAGAACAAGGAGTTTTTTTTTTTTTGAAAACAGACAAAATTTAACCCTATAAAGGGTTAAATTAAATTTGGCAAACCCAAAGGCATATATGGTCATCATAGACGACCAAAAATATAGAATACTTAGTATTCAATCTGATATTTGTTAGATATTTTATGGTAGTCTTTAAATTTTTACATTTTAATACATTCGAGTACTTACGAAGTCAGCAACGTCCAAGATGTTATCTTCAGCAATGTTGGTGCAATCGATGGCATAACGCAAAGAAACCTTCTTCTTCTTAAGTCCCTTACCACGCAAAACGGCCTTCTTACCTACTTTGCCGGAGGCAACAGCAGCCTTCTTGGGCTTGGCGGCAGCGGGTTTGGTTACTACAGCCTTAGCGGTCTTCTCAGCAGCGGGCTTTTCAGTCTTGGCTGGTTCGGCCTTGACGGGGGCAGCAGCCTTAGCGTCCTTCTTGGGGGCCTCCTTGGCGGGAGCAGCAGCCTTCTTGGCTGGGGCAGCGGCCTTGGCGTCCTTCTTGACTGGGGCAGCCTTGGTGGCGGCAGCCTTAACATCCTTGGCGGCTTCTGGGACCTTCTTTACATTTTTGGCAGCAGCAGCAGGTTTGGCGGCTTCAGCTTTGGGTTTTTCAACTTTGCCCTTAGCGGCGGCTGGGGCAGCCTTGGCAGGTTCGGCCTTTTTGGCGGCAGCGGGTTTGTCACCCTTTTGGTTTTTAGGCTAAAAAAAGACAAGATTTATATCAATCAATAATCCACAATTTTCTTAGCAATCACTTGATATTATTATTAAATTCAAATTTCATCCAATAAAAACGCATTTAAGGTATATTTTTTTATATTCATTTCCAGTTATTACACAAATTTATAAGTAAAAATTATATTTTTTCAGGACACTTACGGTTGGTGCCATGTTTGATCGCAAAAACCACGGAGAAAAAGAACAAAAAACCTCACTGTCCAATCTTATAACACTTTTCGATACTCGTTCCAAATTATAGCAATTGTTCGAGTCTCGTTGGGAAGTGTTTGGAAAAAACTTTGAATTTATAAAGCTACCATATTGGTTTTAATGTTTCGTCAATAATTTTGCAACTGAAAAATAACTTCAATTTCATAAATATGTATGTAGATATCTTTCATACAAAACATTGCAGCTACATTAGTTATTTTTATATAACGTAAAAGTTCGATAGTATCAGTTGTGAGAGATTGTGAAGACATAACTGCGTTAAAGTCATTTCTTGAAGGGGACCTTATAAATATTTTAGTTCTTTTAAAACTTGATTATGTAGAATTTTGTTGCAGTTTTGTAGCCAATTCTGCGCTTCAAAGTAATTTCTGAGGGGACTTTATATGGGAGATAGGATCAATTATGTGCCGATCCTCACGAACTTTGACAAAAACATTTCGGCTCCAATAAAACTTGTTTATGTCGAATTTCATCGTTATACATGCTTTATTCATCCAGTTACTAGCAATATAGTCATTTTCTGAAAAGGGCATAATATGGGGGTAGGTGAAATCGTTGATCGATATTTTCCATGTTTAATACCAAATAAAATGGGGCAACTTAAAGTATTTCATCTCTTTATCTTGTTTTGTTTCGACTCTATAAGAGACAGACTTATGTGGGTCGACCCACATAAGTAATAATTATTACTGGAGATCAAAGAAGTTTTTTTTTATTTTCGACATTTTAAAAAGAGAATAAAAGCAAAGAGCATTTAATTCAACTGTTTTTAAAAATAACCAAAACGAAAAATTAATTCGCATGTACGCATGAAAATTAGAAATACATAATGAATTTTGGTTAATAATAACGAAAGTGGCAACACTGGTTATCACACGTGTGTTTGTTTATTTTCAAAATTGTAGATATTTTTAATAAACGCTTCTGTTATTTTAATTCTATTTTATAAATTACAATTATGGGTGGTTCTCACAAAAAGAAATTACGTGCCGAAAAGGCTAAAGTTAAGCTAAAAGGTGCTAAATTACCAAAAGGTCTTAATGTTACTAAAACAGAATTCAAAGTGCGTAAAATTACAATTCGGGAACAACTCAAAGAAAGCCAGTATGCAGATGGCCTAAAACAAGTGAATCTGAAGGAGACATTATCGAAACTTAGGCATCACAGTTCAAGTTTTCGCATTGAATCACTGAGAAACCTGAGAGATGCCATCAGCATTAACCACCCCGGGTTATTGTCATCTCTAAACGATGTTATACAAGGCGTATCAGCTATTTCACTAGATGTGGAGCGGGAAGCCAGAAGGGAATCTTTTAAAACACTTAGTAGCTTGCTGGGTCATTTGTCAGTTGAAGCTGTAGCTCCATTTTTTCACATAATTTCATCGTATCTACGTTGTGCTATGACACATATACAGCCAAACATTCAAGAGGACGCTCTGATGATGTTGGATGTGTTACTTCAGCATGTACCCCATTTGGTGGCCGTACATAGTGCTAAAATTTTTCAAAATTTTTTAGAAATGATTTCAAGAGTTAGAGCAGATGGTGATAAAGCCGGACGCATGTTAACAGTGAATATGGGCCAAAGGCAGACTACAATTAAATGGCGTTCCAAGGTTTTGTTGCGTTTGCAACAAATGCTGCAAACTTTGGCTGAACACAAACGAAGTATGCGTGAAGATGCCTCAAAAGCCAATAACAACAATAGTAAATTTATAACATTTAGCTCAAAAACCGAACAGCACTATGGTGTCAAACGAGTTTTTGCACCAAATCAAATTTGTGATCTATCATCAATATTCAATCGTTCTTTGGGTAGTTCTACATTATCTGGTGAAATTAGTATCAGCGATGAATCGGGACAATTACGTTCATACGTGGAACATTTAATGCCTTTGCTCTTAGAGTCGTGGTTGGAAGTGAGACCGCAACATGTTTCTGGTTCAGGCACTATCGAAACATTGCTTACACTTGATGCAGCCATAACTTTGAAAATTGTTTTGGAAATTATTGAGAATTTATGGTCACTAATAGAAATATATGAACAACAAGTGAACAATCATGATTTGAGTATATGGTTTAAAGATCAATATGCCGATGTTTTTGCAGCCAATTTTTTGCAGGATTCCTATCCGTACCAACAAATGATATATGAAGAAAGTAAATATTTAATCAGTATTCCTCTATGTTATTAATGTTCTAAATTCCTTTTCTATTCTTTATTTTAGGCGATGGTATTGCAAAAAGAAAAAATAAGAAATCCTCCACAGATATGTTGCCTCATTGTTTTCAACAAAACATAACGGTAGCATATTTAATGTGCCGTTTTTATTCAAATCATTTGAATGAACAATCTACCAGATTCATTGCTGTCTTAAAGTATCTTACAAAAATTGTAAATTCCATATCTACCAACAATTCTAATGACTACCTACGATCACTGGTATTGGCTTTACGGGCACTCTTATTAGAAAATGGTTCAACGCTTTTGGAACTTCATAAGGAAGAAACTAAAATTCTGCTAAGGTGCACCATTAAAGCCTTTTTAAGTAATAAATTTAGCGAATTGGGTATAGCATCCAAAATTCTTATATTGCTATGTGAAATTGTGCAAGACTCTAAACTTTGCCTTGCATATAGTAATGAGGAATTTTGTGAATTTTTGGAATATTTACCTAATCTTTTATTAAAGCCCACAATAAGTGAATCATGTCTTGTGGCAATGGGTAAATTGGGCAAACAGCAGAATGCTATATTTTTGAATGCTTTAAGAAATATTATGTCTAAAGTTGTGGATCATCTGCAGACAATACAAGTAGCGGGAGCTATTAATGTATTCGAGGGGAAAAAACATATTATCAATTTATTTTATTGGCTCAATCCACAAACGAGCATTAATAAGGAAGTTATGGAGAAGCTTTTAAGTGATGTGGAGACAAATGTTACCGACAAAAGAATAGCTGGTTACTGCCAATATATATTAACTGCTGCATAAACATTTTTACAATATTCTTTATTGTAGGTATTTTATATTAATAAAAATTATAATTACATACTGTATAACTAAAATGTTAACTTGATTTATAAAACTATGATTTCTTCTTAAGAGCTTTGGGCTTAAAACGATCCAATACACTGGGTTTTGTTTCACTTTCCAAAGGTATAAAGTCATCACCATCATCAACTTTATGAGATTTAATGATGTTTTGTTTTGTTTCGCGAACATTTTGTATGAATTCCTGAAAATTAAATTAAAGTTAGTTAAAGTATTATAAATGTTTGCATTGAATTAGATTGAGGATATAAGTACAGGTTTCTAGGGTTCATATGTGATAAAATCAATTTTAATATTCCATAAATTTGCTACAAATACTATGAAATTCGCTGGAAAATTCTCAACAATTCATTAGATTTCCATCACACAACCCTGTACATATTTAGCTAATTAGGCAACAACAATAAAACTTTATAAGGAAAGCTTAATAATTTTGAATAATATTTACAATCCAGCTAAAAACTAATATAAACATTACAAACCTTTCTCTTCTGATCCTTAACAATTTGTTTATTGCGAGATGCCTTCGCACTTCCACCTTTGCCTTTCATTTTGTGTCTAGAATTAAATTGAATTTCTGGTGGTTTAACAAAGAATATCGAACGTTTAGCATCGATTTTCTCTTGTAATGTGGGAGCATCAACAGTAGCAATCTCATTCGGATCTAATGTTATAAGTTCTGCGGGTATTTTCTCTAACAGAGCGTGTACTTCATGTTCACGACGTTGTGAACGCGTCTGCATTGGATTATCCTCTAAAGCATCGTAGTTAGGCTCACCCGAACCAGGTACCAACAGAGATTGGAAACCTTGAGCTGTGGAAACTCCCAAAATATCTTCATATGGACAAAAACGCATGCCGTGAATAAATGAACCACAATTCTTGCGCAGATAGGGGCGGCTTGTTTTCTCGCCCATAATTAAATTGTTGTATATTTCGGTATAGTTGCCTTGACATATAGCTAATGCGCCCCTTTGTGAGACATCCACATGATTTGCTGGCAAACGTAAATGATATTCTGCTAAAGGTCCACTTAAGGCTCGTATATCCCACACTTTTACCTTACGGTCTAAACCTGCCGTCACTAAATGTTGCCCTTTTTGATCAATAGCCAGAGCTGACATTGGTGTTGAATGACACAATAATTTTGCTAAAGGTTCTCGTACTTTGGGTGACCACATTGAGACGACACCTTTTCCACCGCCAATGCAAAGTACACCATTTCCTGGATTTTGCCGCATTATACGTATATCTCCCAATTTTGTGTTATAGTTACCCACAAGCTCACCCACAGATACGTCTAACCAGGATACATAACCATCCTTATTCCCAGTAGCCAATAGAAAATGATACGGTAGGAATTCCATACGATTAACGCGATACATTCTTTTGATACAATGCAATTCGGTGCCCTGATTATCATATATATAAACATGATCTTTTTGGGCGCAAGCGAACATTGTGTGAACATGTAAAAAACTAACTTCGGCCACCTCTTCCATTACATTCATTTCGCAATGTAACTTTTTCGTTATCCAATCGAAAGCTGCTACATGACCTTTGCGTCCACCCAGCAACAAGTGCCTACCATTTTTAGAATATCGCATAGTATAAGGTCCAAAATCTAAATTCAATTTGAACAATTTCGCTGCCGATTGTATATCAACATTGGCGGCAATTTCCTCTTGTCTATAGTCTGCTGTCACTTCACCTTCATCGGCTTCAATAAAACCTTGTTGTTCAGTCAACAGTAGCTCAGTTCGTGCAGCTTGTTCTGTAGCATATTCTAAATACACTTCCTTACGTTGTTGTTTTTGCTTAAAGAATTTGGTCTTAATGCCATCCTCTTCCACTTTTTCGCCGCGCTCATATTTGCGTAGTAGTTCTTTTGGTATTTTTGGTTTCTTGTCTTTAAGATGGTGGCCAGCATCTTTGTTGTTCTTTCCCTTACGCTTCAGATGATATGGAAGACGTTTTGGTGTTTTTTCGTCTACTTGTATAAACTCGCCTTGAAATTCTTGTTGATTTTTTGGTTTATGTTTTATTTTTTCCACGTCTTCTTCTAATACAGGATCAATAAAATAACGACTATTTTTTGGCTTTGTTTTTTCTTCCTTAATTTCTTCAGACATTTTTTATATTAATAAATATCTTTATTTATATGCACTTGTAAAAATTTAAAAATATTTATAAAAACACAACGTGCTCGGACGATATTGAATATTTACATGAGTGTTGTACTATAGCGTTTTTGTAAAAACAATAGTGCAACGAAAGTAGTGATGCCAACATAGAGAGTTTTTTTAGTTTACCATTGGCATGCAAATTGCAAAACTTTGAATTCATTAGCAGCTGCAAATTTTAAAAACATTAAATTCTTTGCCTTGGTTCAATTTTCGAAAGTTATGATTTAAATCTTACTAAAATTATTTGAATTACGTTTTAGAAAATTAATATTTTTCATAAATTGACATAATTTCATAACAACTGATATAAAATCATGTACATAGCAGGAATGGGACATGCGACACAAGTACGTTAGCACTAATCAATTTTTCGAGCAATCGAATTTTTGACGCACATAAAGAAAACAACCCGACGAAAAATAAAACAAACCGTAACAGACGCACATAAAGAAAACAACCCGACGAAAAATAAAACAAACCGTAACAGCTGTTTTATCAAAATAAACATTTTTTTTGGTGTGGTGAGTTATTTTTGTTTACAAATATGTGTTTCTGCACGTGGAAAAGACGCAAAAACTCGTTTTCATTATTTACATTTTCAATATGTGTTTATGCACGTGGAAAAAATTCAAAAAAATTGATTTTCATGATTTACATTAAAAAAAATATTTTTGATCAATTAAAATATGTGTATAAATGTGGAAAGGAACAAATCTGATAAAATATAAATATATTTGGGATTATATCGTTACAGAATGCCTTTTAATAAAAAACAATCAAAAAATGTTACTATGGTCATATATATAAAATGATATATAACTGCTATCGGACGATCTTGTGCACGATAAAAACCTATATAGAACTTTAAGTTGGAAGTGTAGAAATCGGATGGCATACATTTTTTTCCGGATTTCATCGTTCTAGGGTGTGTACTACAACAACAAACTTTTTTTTTACAAAAAATGTTACTATGGCCGTATATATTAAATGATATATAACTGCTATCGGACGATCTTGTGCACGATAAAAACCTATATAGAACTTTAAGTTGGAAGTGTAGAAATCGGATGACATAATCTGTTTGAGATTTTAGGTAGGGTCAACTGTTGACCGATCCTTACAAAATTCTACAGATAAATTTTGTTTCATATAAAAGTTGTTGTCGAATTTTATAGCTATTTTTTTAAGCCAGTTATGAGTGGTAGTAATTTCCCGAGGTGGACCTTATATCGGGGATATGTTAAATTATGGACCGATCCCCTTAAATTTGTTTATGTGGAATTTCTTTGCTATATTGGTATTTTTATTACAATTATTGGAGTTAATATCTTTTTCTGAAGGGGAACTTATATGGGGGTAGGGTCAATTTTGAACCAACCCAGAATGGTTTTGGATCATATAAATCTTGTAAAATAATATCCTGATCCTCATAAAATTTGGCAAAAAGATTTTAGTTCCTATAAAACTTGTTTTTGTCGTTTTTCTTCGCTATACTGGAGTATTGAAGCTCAATAATAAACTCCATCAACTAAAAATATTTTGGCAAATATTGGCTAAGATCCTAGTCTATACTTTTATGGATTTTAGACCAATATTTCGGTGTAAAAGTTCCTTGGCTCCCTGATGAGTTTATCGTATAGCGATATTGTCCATTTTCAATAACAAACTCAATCTTAGACTGTAATAAGATCCCAGCATATACTTTTATGGATATTAGACCAATATTTCAATGTGTTACAAACGGTGTAAAATGTTCCTTGACTCCCTGATGGGTTGTGTCTTCCAAGTGGTGATTTAGCGATCTTGAAAGTGACGGAACTAATAGGGAATCACATTGTTCGCCGGTCTCTGGTAAGATTTTAGGTTGATAGTCATGCTGCACTTAAAGCATATATAGAATATAGAATGAATTGCACATTATATATGGCCGTTTTAAAAATACTTGATTCTAATGAAACCGGGATTATTATTGGGGTAGATGGTGTACACCAAGAACACTTGCACTGGCTATAAAACATTATTAAAATACATAAATTTTTCTTAGCACAAAATAAATATGTCTAGTAATTTGTTTTTGTTTCATTTGTTTACGTTTTTACAGAAACTCACCACACAACAATCAAAAACAGCTGTTAGGGTTTGCTGTTTTATCAAAAGGTTGTTTTATTAACGGGTATGAATTTTTGTCAATTATCGACTATTTGGTTCTAAAATGTCAGTAATTCGACTGATTTAGGAAAAATTACGAAAACGTCTAAAAAATGGTAAAAGTACATATATATATTGTTGCTACGGACGGACAAAGTTTCAGTTTTAAATCTAAGATTTAAATTATCAATTGGATGGTGCTTTTATTTTTATTTTAAAAGCTAACGTTGTTTTTAATGTGTAAATCTGGAAACATAACTTAAACTTTGAAATAGAAGATGAAAAATTCGAATTGAGTAAAATCTCATTTTGACTTGTTTAATTTTATAATACTGAATTATTTTTTTTAAATACGAAACTTCAAATTGTAAAAATTTGAAAAATCGAAATTTTGTAAATTGAAAAGTCGGAAATTCAACTTTTTGTTTCAATTAAAGAAACAAAATTCACACATTCGTGTTTTTTTAACACGTTTTAAAATAATCGAGACGTTTTTATTTTCTTCCAGAATACCACTTTTTAAACAATCGGATTCCGCTTTTGTTCAATATCGCTGAATGAATTAAAAACAAAAAATGTAGCCGGCTTACATTCGATTTTGAGCCGCTGCCGCCGTTATGTTTGTCGACGCAGATCTCTGCTTCTCTTTCTCGATATTTTTCAGTTTTTTTCATTCCTTAAACGTGGTTTGATAAAGGTAAGTTTTTTTTTACCGTGATTGGCAAGAAAAGTTAATAAAATTTGAGTGTATATAAAACTTAAAATGAAGCAATTCATGTGAAAGTTTTTGCCTAAAGTGGAATATTCGTGATAAAGTAAGAAAAAAGTGTATAAAACAATAAGAAAACATGAATTTTCAAAAGTTTTTCAGACAGACGAGCGGTGTATAAGACAGAAAAAGAAAATAAAAAAAGAATTACAAATTCTGTTATACGGCATCGATAAATTGTCATGTTAAAAAAAGAGAGTGATATGCTCATTCGCAAATATAATGCAACAAAAACAATACGAGTAAAAAGCACAAACATATGTATTGAATGTCGGAATGCTGAACACAAAATGCAAATAATGATAAATGAAGTGTTAAAATGAAAATGAACATATTTTTTTTTCCTTTTGACAAATATGTCGTCGGTGGAATAATATAACAAAAGACACATACGAAGAAAATAAGAAAAAAATTTCCCTTTTGGAAATCAAAAGAAAAGTAATGAAAAAGTGTGCATGACAATTTCTTACCAAAAAATTGTAAAATAAAAAGAAAATAGTAAAATAATAAGAAAAAGTGATACATAAAAAACTATAATTGGACAAATATTTTATTTTTATTTTTTTCTTTAGTTGAATTTGTATTAAAAGTTTCAAAAATATTTCCCCTAATGTGAGTTGCAGTGTGTTTTAATTTGAATAAAGAAAAAGAAAAAAATTGTGATACAATGAAGATGATAAATTTCTTCTTGCCACTTATTAACAAAATTTCTTTACAGTTTAATTAACTGGGTGGCTAGTTGAATTGTTGGTTTTACTGACAATCATTAGTCCACCAAATTTTACATTTAATTTAATTTTATTTATTTTTTTTTGGTGTCTTATTTTTTTATACACTTGCATATACAATACTTTAAGATTTTGGTCTTTGGTTCAACCAGTGAATGTCTTGCTTTATTAATCTTTTTTCCGGTTTTTACAGAAAAATGAGCAGCTCTGAGGAAGTATCTTGGGTAACTTGGTTTTGCGGTCTACGCGGCAATGAATTCTTTTGTGAGGTATGTGTGATTTATTTTATTTACTTTAGATTTAAGATTATTTATCGTAAAATAATGATGATTTTCTTATGCTATATTATTGTCTTAATTATTTGTTATCTAATCATTCATCGATGTGTGATTTATATTGTTTAAATGTACAAGTAAATTAGTCCCTGTTCTTAAGATCAGCCCCCCGTATTATTTGAAGAAATATTGCTCAGAGTCTGTGGGCGCACCAACATTAAAATACCAATTTGATTTCATTAATTAAAGACTGAAAAGTGTTTTACTTTGATATTGTTATATTTTCTTGCATTTCCTTATTGTTAATATTTATTTTGTCTTATTTTTGAGTCATTGACACACCTAAACGTCACTAAACTAATGATATTAATAAATAAATAAATAAATAATTTGTATTTAATTTACATACATAGTTGCATATTGATTTTGTATATTTCGCACAATTTTAATTTTAAATTCAAAGTTATTTAAATAAATGAACGAACGATAGATATATCGATCAACTTAACATAAGTACGTAGAGGGTCTTCTTGGTTAGAAGAATATTTCCAGTGTGTAATAGAGTTTACAAATAGGTAATAACCTGGAACCTGGAACGAAAAACTAGTTCCAGGTTGTCTAGTTTTAGAGGAAAACTTGTTACGTTCTGAAAGTGTGGCAATATTATAGGGGTCGTACTTGAAAGAGCTCTAGGGTTGTTATTAGAATGACTTTGTTTGACTGTACTTGAATATTGAAACATACAGAAAGTAGTATTAAATGAGTAAATCCACCAATGTGACACTATTATTGGCTGATCCTCGAAATTATTAACTAAGGTGGTAATAGTAGGAAAGATTGCTTAGCATCCAAAGCCTTGATACTAAAGTCTCCGGAATAGGTGTATTTAATAACACAACGCACTTTTGTGTGTTATCTCTGTATTTGACAGAGTCGGAGCATAGATAGTTGTAATCAAGGCAATTTGCTGTGCTTTATAAAGCGAAAGGTTGGCTATTTGAAGTTAGAATGCTTATATCAACTTTTTCAACTTTTTTAGAATTGAAATAAGTTTCTTTCACAACACTTCTAAACTAAAATATGTACATAAAGCGACCAAAGAGATAGGGACTCAAAGAAAATTTTTAAAAATTATCCAATTTAAAATAAATGTATATGGAAAACAATCGATCTTGAAGTACATATTAGAAAAATAACAAGGGAAGTTAAACATAACGTATTCCCAAATCTACTATTTTTAAATAAAATTTTAAGTAATTAACATATGTACATAATAATTTTAGTGACTTGGGGATTTTACAATATGAACGAAGGTTTTGTAAAAGGATTACCACAAAATTTCAACATTAGAAAATCTTCACAATATATTTTATAAAAAATTCTATTAATTTTTTCAATATACTTTTACAGGTTGATGAAGATTACATACAGGATAAATTCAATTTAACTGGCTTAAATGAACAAGTACCAAATTATAGACAAGCTCTTGATATGATCCTAGACTTAGAGCCTGGTAAGTAAAATACAATAATATGTGATTGTTAAATTCACAAATGAAAAGTGATTAAAAAACTAGTTTAATGTTGAACATTATATAAAAACAACAGTTGTATAACATTATTTGAATTAAATTGAATATTAATATTATTGCAGAGGATGAACTTGAAGATAATCCCTTACAATCTGATATGACCGAACAAGCTGCTGAAATGTTATATGGTTTGATACATGCACGTTATATTTTAACAAATCGTGGCATTGCGCAAATGATTGAAAAATATCAAACTGGTGATTTTGGACATTGCCCACGCGTTTATTGTGAAAGTCAACCGATGTTGCCATTGGGTAAGTAATTTTAATTAAAATTTTAGTTTAATATTATTGAAAATTAAATTCTCTTTTAGGTTTATCTGATATTCCTGGTGAGGCAATGGTTAAAGTATATTGTCCCAAATGTATTGATGTTTATACACCAAAATCATCACGACACCATCATACGGATGGTGCTTATTTCGGTACTGGTTTTCCACATATGTTATTTATGGTGCATCCTGAATATCGTCCTAAAAGGCCCACTAATCAATTTGTTCCAAGGTAAATATAAATAACCTTTAAATAAAATATACATATGTATATAATTTTTTAAAATTTAAATTTAATTTTTCTTTTGCAGACTTTATGGCTTCAAAATTCATAGCTTAGCTTATCAAATACAGCTGCAGGCAGCAGCCAACTTTAAAATGCCACTACGAGCGGTAAATTTAAAATGAAATTTATTTTAAATGTAACAAAACAATTATTAAAATCATATATCGTTTTTCCTTTTTTCCTTTCCTCCCACTCTTATGTTTATTTAAATGTTTTCTTTATTATAACTACAACTATATTTTTTAACAAAACACACTACTTTTTTAAACAAAATTTCCTCTTCTTTTAAATTGTTCACAATATACTACTCCTCTGCATTTACAAAACATACAAAAAATCCTATGAAAAATTAAAAAAAAAAACTAAAAATTATAAAAAATCTAATAAAAAAAGAAAAATTAATAAAAAAGCACACAAAAACAGCAACCATTAAATAGAGAAAAAGAAATCTTAAATTGAGAAAAGTAAACAACAACATTTGTTGTTCCAAACTTAAAGAAAGAGTGAATGAAAGATGCAAAATATCCCTCTTCTCATCCCTTCCCCATCAAAAAAAAAAAAAAAAAAAAAAAATACAAACAAACACAAAATATGGTGAACTAAATATCCATAATATTTTTTACCAATCAGATGCATTGTTAGAGTTTTATGTTTAATTATAATGAAACACAGGATTTAATAAAGAACAAACAACAACATAAACATAACCAAAACCTTGACTTACTACTTACTTACCAATACAAATTTCAAAATCCCTTAAAATAACAAAAAAAAAATTAAACAAAATTAGACAATGTTAAAAATTCAAATATATACAAGCAACGAAATTTTATTTACACCATTTACCAAACAGGAAACAACTGACAGACAAAATAATTCCCACACTTTTTTATCTGTATTTGTTTTTATATATTTGTTTCGCTTTCATTTCATCTAACTAGTTTATTGCTATTTTAATTATTATTATTTTATTATTGTTTAAAAAAACACCTTCTTGTGCATTTAGTATAAGGACCCTTTTTGGCTGTATAAAGAAAAAAAATCAAATTAAACACTTTGTGTCATTTAACTGAACATTAAAAAATCGATCAATCCAATCATTCAATTCTCATAATTATCAATAACATTCAAACACAATAAAATGCTTGGACATTAAAAAAACAATAAAATTACATGTTAATAAACTAAAAAACGTTATAAATGAAGGAATTCAATCAACATTTGCTAAATCTCCATCTTTAGAAACAAGGAAATCCAACACTTCCACCACCATCATCATCAGCACCTGTAACTGTAAAATAAAACAACCAGCCATTTATCTATCAATCAGTCTATACGTACTTTGTATGTTTCGAAATTTCCATCAACATTTATTTTGATTGTGTTTTGTGTGTGAGAAAAATCATCCTTACCGCCACACAACATCCAATAAAATAAATATATAAAAAAGAAAGAAAAGTTTATAAGAAGCTTGCTTAAATGTAAACAAAAACAAAGAAAAATCCCAAGATTTGATGTACTGTATGTATCAATCGCATAGAGTAATTTATCCCTAAATGTATCAATATCATTAACATTGTAATCATGATCATCATCTAGCTATCTGTTCATTAAAACAAAATATTAATAATAAAACAAATCATAATATTTAGTTTATTTCCATTTATATATTTTTTTGTACAACTTTCTTTTTTATTGTCAATTAGTGTACTTTACATTTTCTTTTTTTTTTTTTTTTTGTTTAACGAAACGGATTTTTCATAAATAATTTAATATGAACAATAATAATTAAAAAAAAATAATAATTAAAAACAAATAATATTTAAAACGAAAAACAAAAAAAAAAAAAAAAAAAAAAAAATAATAATAAAATTAATCATACATACTTAGTAATTTATAAATGTTTATTAATTTAATTAAATATATAAAAAACAAAAGTAATGTGCTTATTTACGAAATATATAATTTTAAACAAAATCTCCTAAATTATTTACAAAGATTAGTTGTACATAGTTAGAAGTTTAGAATCCAATTGAGTGCAGTTTTATAGCATATTAGCTACTACCCAGTACACTTTGCTACCCTTGCATAGATAGTAAAGTTGCTCATGCAAATTTTGAAAATTTTTTTAGCTGCTATAGTTCTTCAATATACTATTTTTCTTATATACGGAAGTGATCTCATTGATGCAGTTTTTTGCCCTAAACATGCATTTGGATAATAAAATTATTTATAAAATATTTGAAGACTGCAATTTTTTACGTTTCTTAGACATATTGCTGGTCTGCCCATTAATATTTTAAATATTTATATTGATGTTAAAGTTCCTTTAGCAAAAATTGACGGCTCTTTATTTTATAGTTTGTCAAATGTATGTATATGGGGGCGTCCCTTAAAGACTTTAGTTTATATTGTTTGCTAGATTGATATTAACATTTTAGTATTTAATACCCACTATGTATATAGACAATAAAGGAATTTGCGCGAAGCTTTATAGCTTCCCAAATATACAAATTTTAGTGTAAATCTTTTATACGGCTAGTGTCACGCCCACTAATATACATATATATACAAAGATCATGATTCTAGCTGTTATAGCAGATATTTGAGTTTAATCATTAAACTCATATTTAAAGGGCGTGGCCTCTAATGTCGGACATCCCTTAATGAAGAATTCGACAATAAGACTGAACTGAATTCGACATCATTAACAGATAGACAATACCATTGCGGACTCTCTTACGAAACGTGGCTCTTGGATAGCAAGAGAGTACACTAAAAGTTTCGTCGACATACCGCTTTCGCTATAAACTTCACAAGCTTGCACAATCTATGTGGCTGATTAAGGCTACCTGTAGATTGGTGAAACATATAACCCATAAAGATCACAGGTCTTACTATATATTTCGAAAGCATAGCTACGGAACACAAATGCAGTGATAACTGGCCGTTTGGACTTCATGCTTGAAGATCGAACTTATTTATTAATGACTTCTGCCGAAGCTTTAAAGAGAAAGAGAAAAATATTACTACTTTTTTCTGTTAATGTCCTGAGATCAATATGGTGGACACAAGTGTGTCCCCCGTGATGTAAATAGAAAAAAAAATTATCAATACTAAATTTAGAAAAACAAAACCTTGTTAAAATGTAAAACATTGCAGATATTATTTGCTTCAGGAATTTACTAAAAGAAAACCTCACAAAGTCGCGAATAGTTTAATTTACCGGCCTCGTTCTCTTACTATTATAATAACACACCTATTCTGCATTTTGATTACGTTTCCGCATTCAGTTTCCCAAAGATTGGAAAAAGATATTCCAACGAAAAACGGAATCGTAACGAAAAGAAATTCCAATTTGTTTCAATGCTTTATGTAAATTCTGCATTGCGATTTTAGCTACGTTTATAAAGTTGTAAACGGAAAAATTTTGACTCGAATTGTAATGCAGAATAAGGGCGAAGAATTGCAACCATTAATCTTATATTGTGCGTATAAGGCTTACATAAACATTGAAGAAGATACATTTTGAATAATAGCGAAATATTGCAACAGTCAGATGGGGTTTAAAGTGCTAGGAATAGCTGTGGAAACCGGATCTTAATTGTGCCTCGCACTATTCGAGTTTTTACGGCATGTTTAATTAGGTTTGATATTGTTAATCGCCGAAACGACCCAAGTTATAAATAGTCAAGGAATGTTAACTCATCGACAGATTCGTTTTAGGTGATGATATGTACATTAGGTTTAGGTAAGAAGGGTGGCTTACATAGGTCCACCCAATTGCAGTCCCGTTGTGATGCCCTAGTGGTAATAGGAGAAAATTTAAATACTACTCACTACTTCCAGATTTAAACCAGCCGATTTGATTCACAAGTTTAGGATATTTTTGAGGCATAACCCAGATACCTCCTCCAATAGAGAGCAGCAAAGCCGAAACGCAATAGCAAAGGAGGTGAGGTATTGTTTCCTCGTCCTCCTCATTTTTGTTGGAATACCTATTTTCGATCGTAGCGTAACTGAAGGCGGAAACGTAATCGAAATGTAGAATAGAGGCGAATAACTTACAAAAACGTAGCTACGATCGTAAAACAGATACACACTATAGTAAACCATTGAAACGAAATGTAAGACCTTCTTCTTTTCCTTACGATTCCATTTTTTTTTAAATAATATTTTCTATCGTTGCATAATGGAATGCGAAATAGGGTCGAGTGATTTCGTTAAAACTCAATATTGCTTGTCAAGTGGTGATAACGCTAGAAACTAACCAAAAGTTCGAAATCGATTTTATATAAGAATTTCTGTTAACAAAATCTGTGAAAGTTTCAAAATTCTTTAAATGTATTGTATGTATACAAATATTGTTCCTTCGTGCTCGTTGGTTGAATCCAGTGTTCTTTTCAATGTGTGCGTCTTAACAAGTAGATATCTTCATTATTTTTAATTAATTTCTTTATTTTACTTTTTTCTCTCTTTTGCCGAAAACACTTGTCATTGTTAATAACAAAATTACACTTCCTCGCATTAAATCATGCCTCCCTCTCATGCGCCTATACTCAATCAATCAAATCACACATTCCCACTCATGCATGATGTCAAAAATATTCACGCATACACACACACACGTGCATGTACTATATATATTTACAGGACTATATTGCACTTTGTCAGGAAATACTTAGCCGACCGTGTCCTGAAGATGAAGAAGTAGAGGAGAATAAAGACAAGGAATAATTTTTCAATCTTTCTTAAATTGTTGTCTTTTTTTAAATTAATTTACATCTGTTTAAATAATTTTGTTAAATATGTATTTTATAAAAGAATAACAATATTTATTAGATCAATTAAAATTATTTACATATATCTTTTTGTGTGCAATTGATTTTGTTTGTTGTGTTTAATGTTCTTTTTAGTTATTTTATTTTTTTTAATGCACTAAACAATTTTTGTTTGTTTTTTTTTTCCCTCGCTGTTATAGAGTATTCCCTATTTTGCTTCTTAAGACGAAGTAAAATGACTATTTTCTGGATAAAACCACTTTAGGTTTTTAGTGGACTTAGATTTTGTTTAGAATTACATACCTGTTTTTCATAAAGTTTAATAAAATTATTTACCAATTAAAAAAATTATTCGAAATCAAAAACCATTTCAAGCGGAATGTTTGATTGTCCTAAAAGTAAAATCCTTCCAATATCAATCATAATTCATAGATGAGTTTTATGTACTTATTGTATATGTACTACTTATTATTTTTTTTGACATAAAAAAACGTGAAAAAAACGTCACTTCTCCTGTCAATTAAAACAACGGAATTCAGATAAATAATGTTTATTTACTATATCAAACTCCTACGAAGGAAATCTCTATCAAACTTTTTTAAATTTTACTGTGGTATAATTCTTTTGAAGATGCGTCTAAAGGTTTACAAATTTGAAAAAATGTGCTATTTTTTTTATTTTAATGAAAAACGTTAAATTTTTAAGTTTTTTAGTAATTAAAGCAATTATAAGGACACTGTAATTTATGTTTTATACACCATTGAATGCGGTTATAAAAACTCTTTCAAATGGTATCCCATATTAAATATATTTGTTCAATTCAATTTTTGCTCATATCTCCGTTATTTATGGACCGATTTTGATGATTTTAAATAGGAAACTACTCGAAAGCATGTCAGATAGATTTATTGAAGATTTAGACCCCAAAGATATCTGGGGTCTTTATAAAATTGATTTCAATAGTCATAAAACAAAGCAAGGTAAATTTTGAGAGGGGTAACAAACTGACTCTGTATGCTTTCCATACAGAGTCAGTCGGTCTAATGTATTTACATATATCTGATTCACTGAGATATCGTCTCAGACAGACTTTTTTATTAAAGAATCGTAACATCTTGTGTCTAAGTTAGATAATTAGTAAATTCACTCCGTTATAACATCTTGAATGTGTAGAAAACGTGGTTTGTTCAACAAGTTTTCAGATCATATTCAAATTTAGCGCAGCTCTGGCCTGTGTAATCAGAACTTACATATAAATACTTTTGAATAATGAATTGGTATCATGGAATAGGTTCCATTGAAAAAGCTTGAGTGAATGATTCTATAAATATGTAGTTAACAATTTAAAAATTCAAATAAATCTCGTTAACAAAAGATTTCTTTGACTTTCGGATAATAGTAAGAAAAATGTAATTACAACGAGTGGTAATCTGTTTGGCATTCCACCAAAAACTCTTTTAAAAGGTGTGTTTTAATCCGTTATATTTTAAAATTTTCCGTTACATTACCTATCTAGATCATTAAGCACAAGATCACTACGTAAAATCTAAATTTTAAATTAAAACTTTTCGCACATCACGATCATAGGATCATTATATTAAATCTATTGGAAATAGCCTTTACACTTTCCTTAAATTATGTTTCATTTAATGTCCTAAGAAATGTTTTTATTAATATTATTAACAATTTATTTTTTATTTTTCTTCCTGTTTCTTTTTTGTTGTTTTCTTTTTTATATAATCTCAAACTTGTTTCTTTTTGTACCAAATAAATGTCGTAAAACTATATTTGTACCGACTGTTAAAACTTCTCCCTCTACTACTGCTAACTACTACTATTGACGGTGTTCGATGTTAAAATTGTATGTATGTGTATGTGCGTGGGTGTGCGTGAATTACTACTTTTATTTAAATATATATATTTATTTAATGAAAATTATGAAATTTATATTACTACATCATCAACTTCTGCAAACAATTTGGATTCTGCAAACAATTTAATTTGATTTTTATCTGAAATTTCTTTTTAAAAATCACTCAAACAATCAACCAACCAACCAAATAACGATCGGTATACACTCACTAAACTTCTTCAACTAAAACAACAACTATATATTCAATGCTAAATATCTGAATAATGTAGCATAATAATAGTGGTGGTGGTGGTCAAGATAAAGACGATGAGGCTGAAAATACCATTGATACTATTCCAAATCGCGTTTAGAATATTCTTCTGATTTCTAGCTGATTATTTTCAATTCGTTTTGTGTTTGATTTTCATACGTTAAATGCATCCTAAGAATATTACAAATAAAAAATTAATAATATGTAATAATAAACCAAACACATTTCATCTGAAAAACATTGCCGTTTTAACGTAAATGTAAATTTTTAATGGGTTTTATTATTTTATAAATATTCATCATGGATTTTAATGGCAAACACACTCGAACTTGGATGCCTGCCGCCTACAACATCTTCATAAGTATTTATCATCTGCTATAATACTACATTTAGTCGCAGGAATAAAAATAAAAAAACTTGAATTATTATAATTAATTACATAATTAAATCAATTATTACTTTGATAGTAGTCAAAATCGTGATACTATTTATTATACATACATATGCAAACAAAATCCGTACCTCCTATATAACTATAATTCTTCTTTTTCGTTACCCTACACCATACAGTAGGGAGGTTATTAAGCATATATTTAGAAGTTAAGTAAAAAATTCCTATATAAAACTGCACGAAATTTATTTATTATAAATTGATAAACAAATCACAGATTTTTTAAAAAATTATTACATATATGAATATGTTTCTCGTGATCACATTAAGTAATGATCGGGCTATAATAATCTTTAAAATATTTCAAATTTCACTTAAATATGTGAATATTAAAACGAAATCCGCTTTATAATAACTAAAAATAATTTTTCAAAATTTTGTCCTAACGAACATAAATCGTTTAAATACATTAGTATTAAAATACATTTTACAAAGATTGGTCTATAATTAAAATTAACTCCTATATTGACCTCCTTGCGGAAAATTAATTTAATGCACATAAATCTATTCCCACCATGTAAGTTAGTTTTGTAAAAAAAATTAATACATAGGAGTAAATTTTTTCTATACATCTACTGGTGTAGGGTATTATATGATCGGTAATAGCCGACCATATACATTCTTACTTGTTTTGTGTTGCATTTGTATGAATGGTATCAGTACAATTTTATTTTTAATTTAATAAATTAAAAATAAAATGTATTTAAATAAATGTTATTTTTTAGTGATTATAATTTAATGAAATATATTTTTAATTTTTATTTCATTTTTTAAACAAATACATATGTATATGTGTGTATGTATGTAAATCTATATAATCAATGTAATTTTTAATAAAACAAAATATTGAAAGAAATAAAATGCCTAAGTATATTTTTAAATTAAAAAGGGGTTAAAAGTCAAGATTAAGGTTTCAAACTGACCCGATAAAGTTTAATCTTACACCGTATTGGACAGTAAGTGAGCTCAACTTTATATGGGTACAAGGCCACTAGGGGATAATCGACATTGAAGGGGCGAATGTACTAGCTACAAAGGGAGCATAAGGGAGTTATCCCAACCAATGCAACAACGTTCGATGCAACTAGGACCGGATTAAAAACATGCACAATCAGTCTCTCCTATGGTTTGTATGATGGTGCGTATTGTTTGTGAACCTGTGTTTATGGCTACATCTACACAAAATTGGACGAACGCAGCCTTTGGAAAGGATAGTGAAACGCTGGAATACTCTCTCAGTCCATGCGAGGCTAAGGCGTATTTTCTTTTCTGCAACATTCAACATTCTTTAAAAAGACTTACAGATTTGAAGAATATGCAACTTCAAAAGAATAAATTAATTAGAATGGTTTGACATCAATGTTTTATTTAGTTAGTTAGTTAGTTAGTTAGTTAGTTAGTTAGTTAGTTAGTTAATTAGTTAGTTAGTTAATTAGTTAGTTATTTAGTTAGTTAGTTGGTTAGTTAGTTGGTTAGTTAGTTAGTTAGTTAGTTAGTTAGTTAGTTAGGTAGTTAGTTAGTTAGTTAGTTAGTTAGTTAGTTAGTTAGTTAGTTAGTTAGTTAGTTAATTAGTTAGTTAGTTAGTTAGTTAGTTAGTTAGTTAGTTTGTTAGTTGGTTGGTTGGTTAGTTAGTTAGTTGGTTGGTTGGTTAGTTTTGTTTAGTTGCTTTGTAAGTTAAGAAGTTATTTATAATTTATTCACCAGAATGCATAAAGTATTGGCTACAATAAAGTTAAACTCAGATAAGTGTAGATTATTTTATTTAGATGGGATCAAATACGACGAATATATTATGTCTTAGGTTCTTCATTTTTGTGAGAATTATTTGTATCGTGAGGTTTTTCTGTGTAATATAAACAAGTGGAGTTTTACTCACAGTGTAATTGAACATTTGGGTTAGTGCTGATGTCTGCAACACACTAATATAAGGATCCTATACCCTCTTTAAGGTACCCCTATTCTGCATTTCCATTACGTTTACGCATTCAGTTACGCAACGATCGAAAAAAGGTATTCCAACAAAAAACTGAATCGTAAGAAAAAGAAAAAGCAATTCCATTTCTTTACGAATGTGTGTATTCTACGTTTCGATCGTACCTACGTTTTTGTAAGTTGTTGTTTATGTGGTGGAGAGTCGGATCGAAATGCAGAATACCAAAGTTGCCAAACGGAGAAAATTTCGATTCGAATTGAAATTCAGAATAGGGGCCAATATTTTGAGTCGATTATGCTATGTCCGCCCGATGGCTGCCCATGTATTTTTATCACAAAGACGAAGCCTATTGAAAATTGTTTATCGAGCCGTTATTTCACCTAACCGGACGAATAGTTTTCTAGTTCATAATAATGTTAAATATAATTAAGTTAGCTTAGGTTGATAGGAGGATGTATATTACATCAAATCCGAAGAAATGCACCTAGGCCACTATCAGGAATGTTGTGCGCTCCTTTTCATGGATGAAAAATGTCTGTTGGCAAAAAAATATTGTGTTAACTATATTTCAATGTTAAGAATCCGGAATAATATCACTTCCAAGATATTTGGCAAAGAAAGTGGTTCAGAGTTTCACTGTCCTCTCCACATGTTTTACATTCGCCTGACAATCCCTATCAGAAAATGTGTTCAACGTCCTTTACGACGTAGGACGGGTTTTACCAATACAAATTATTCAAGAGAAAAAACGAATAGTAAGAAAAAGATGAAGCAAATCCATTTTGTTTCAATGCTTTACGTTTTTGTATGTTGTTATTTTAGCGACGGAGCATCTCATCGAATTGCAGAATATCAAAACTGGCAAAGGAAGAAATTTGAATTGAATTTAGGGGCGAAAGGCTCTTGAATATAGTCCCTCGATATATTAAATATGTGTATGCATATCCCACTATATAAGTATTTACATTTATAGGCCTACATTCTATCTATACTGAATGGTTTCAATTTCGTAGATATTATTTTAATTGATTTTATTATGGTTTCATTTGGATTTCGATAATTAAGAAAGCTCAAAATGAAGTTTTCCAAAATAAATTTCGTAAATTTCCACTTGTTCCACACAGAAAAACAACTGTTAAATTTATTTTTTATTGTTTTTTATTAAATTAATTATTGTTTTAATATTTTTGTTTTTTTTCAAAAGTTTAAGTAATTTTATAGTTTGGAAAAAATAAATTATATAATTAGAAAATTCTTCTTAAAAATCGAAGAATTTTTTTTATTTTTATTAATGCATTTGTAGCTTATTACAAAATAATTTGTTTAAATTATTTAATTAAATTAAATTTACAAAGCAAATCATTTATATTAATTCCGAAAATAAATTTTTGTTACTAAGGAAGGACGATTTTATAGAATGAAAACAAAAAAAAAAAAAAAAAAAAATAAGGAATGCGAGGATGAACACATTCAAATTAATAGTGTTTTTCAAAAGGAAATAAAAAATGTGTTGCCCTAGGAAAGTTTGTGTTTGTTGGCTCGACATTGTTGTCTTAAATAAACAAGGCGTGTGTTTGTTGTCTTTGATGTAATAAATATTTTGTTTTAATGTTTTTTCTTTTTGTTTTTGAAATTAACACAAATATATTTTACGATTTATTATTAAATGGTTATCAGTCTGCTTTCTTGTTTATTTTTAACTAAACTGAGAACTACAACTAAACTAGAACTAGAACTTAAATCGCCGTACGACAATTAGACGACAACAATTTACAGCTCATCCTTCAAGTCCTCGTTGTCATCACCGTCTGTGGGTGGAGCACCACCAGCGCCTTGATACAATTTAGCAATAATGGGTTGGACAATGGCTTCCAAGTCCTTCTTTTGTTTCTTGTACTCTTCGGGATCAGCATCGGCGTTTTGTTCCAACCATTTAATGGATTCATCGATGGCAGCTTCCATTTTAACCTTCTCGTCTTCGCTCAATTTAGCACCGAGTTTTTCCTTGTCACCGATTTGGTTCTTGAGACTGTAGGCATAGGATTCCAATTCGTTGCGGGATTCAACCTTTTCCTTAAGTTTCTTATCTTCATCGGCGAATTTCTCAGCATCGTTGATCATGCGCTCAATATCTTCGGGAGTAAGACGGTTTTGGTCGTTGGTGATGACAATCTTTTCCTTGTTACCGGTGCCCTTATCTTCAGCACTTACTTGGAGAATACCGTTGGCATCAATTTCGAAACTGACTTCAATTTGGGGAATACCACGAGGAGCTGGGGGAATGCCAGTAAGATCGAATTTACCCAACAAGTGGTTGTCTTTGGTCATGGGACGTTCACCTTCAAAGACTTGGATGGTGACGGTGTGTTGGTTGTCAGAAGCAGTGGAGAAGATTTGAGACTTCTTGGTGGGGATGACAGTGTTGCGAGGAATCAATTTAGTCATGACACCGCCAACAGTTTCGATACCCATAGTCAAGGGGTTGACATCGAGCAAGACAATGGCGTCGGTATCTTGTTCACCAGAAAGTACACCAGCTTGGACTGCAGCACCGTAAGCAACAGCTTCATCGGGGTTAATACCGCGAGATGGTTCCTTGCCACCGAAGAAGTCCTTAACCAATTGTTGTACCTTGGGGATACGGGTGGAACCACCAACCAAAACGATTTCGTGGACATCTTTTTTGTTCATATCGGCATCTTCCATAACTTTTTGTACAGGTTTCAAAGTGGAACGGAACAAGTCCATGTTCAATTCTTCGAATTTGGCACGAGTCAAAGTTTCAGAGAAGTCATCACCTTCGAAGAATGATTCAATTTCGATACGAACTTGATGGGCGCTAGACAAGGCACGCTTAGCTTTTTCAACTTCACGACGCAATTTTTGTACAGCACGGTTGTCCTTGCGGATATCCTTACCCTTCTTCTTCTTGTACAATTTGATGAAATGATCCATAACACGTTGATCGAAATCTTCACCACCCAAGTGAGTGTCACCGTTGGTAGCAACTACTTCAAAGACACCGTTATCGATGGTCAACAAGGAAACATCGAAGGTACCGCCACCCAAATCGAAGACCAAAACGTTCTTTTCACCTTCCTTCTTGTCCAAACCGTAAGCAATAGCAGCGGCAGTGGGTTCGTTAATGATACGCATAACATTCAAACCAGCAATGACGCCAGCATCCTTGGTAGCTTGACGTTGAGCATCATTAAAGTAAGCGGGTACAGTGACAACAGCATGAGTAACCTTCTTGCCCAAGTAGGCTTCAGCGGTTTCCTTCATTTTACCCAAAACCATAGCAGAGATTTCTTCGGGAGCAAAGACCTTTTTGCCTTGAGAAGTCTCGACAGAGATATGGGGTTTCGAGTTCTTTTCAACAACCTTGAAGGGGAAGAATTTAATGTCATGTTGAACGTGGCTGTCGCTCCATTCACGGCCAATCAAACGTTTAGCATCAAAGACAGTATTTTCAGGATTGGTGGTCAATTGATTCTTGGCGGCATCACCAATCAAACGTTCACCATCGGCAGTAAAGGCAACATAGGAGGGAGTGATACGATTACCTTGATCGTTGGCAATAATTTCTACACGACCATTTTTGTAA